AGTTATCCAGGCTACATTGTTGTAATCTATATAAAAAAGGTGCTGACATAGGTCTGCTCTCACGTTGGAGCCTTGATAACAAGTCTGAACTGGAAACTGCTTTTGCTTAGTTAGCATTTAAGTTTTCTTATTGTTCTTTTTAATTATAAATCTTTAGATTGTTACCAGCGCGTCTACCATCTAGACGTAAGAACCTACAACCCATTTTACCTAGTAACATTTTCCACTTGTATTGAGTATTGATGTACTAGATAAATAAATAACTTTGAACTCACGAAAAAAGCTTGGTAACCTTCTCAGTCCCCACAACGTTTTTTAAAATAAATTTTTAAAAACAACTTTCGGAGGACTTAAAACAAAACTTAAATGCATCGGCTCAATACTTAAATTAGTTTATAGAGGTAACGGTTCAGGAAGGATCCTTTATGATCCCCAATACAGATTCATTGTTATTTTGGGGTGTTTATTTTTCAGTTCAGTTTCACAGTTAAAAGTACCGTTTGTTGATTTTTTGATGTAGCAGATTTTTCACACGTTATAAACATCCCTCTCTTGCATTTTTGAGTTTTGAAAGCTCCACCTTGTACGTCTCCACAGAGTTGTTTTATAGGGTTAATCACCAATGGTGATACTCGCCACACCCTTCGTGTTTTCCTCCTAGTTTAAGTTGTAGATATAAGAAGCAAGAAGCACTTGAAATGACCGAGCGGCATGGCCTAGAGGTTTAGACCATTGCTTAGCATTCGGGAGGACGCCGGTTCGATTCCGGGTCCGTCTGCCTTGGCCCAAATTTTTCTGTGGTTTCCTTGGATCACTTAGGCAAATGCCTGGGGCAGTAATATTCCACAGATAATCTTTCATTCTCTTCTGTCTTCATTTCGTCCGTCTCAACTTTCTCACCCGAACCACCACCCACCCATTCCCACGATTCCTGAATGCAAGCTGAAGAGAGGGCCTTCCGTCTATCTTCCGGCATAGTCCGGAGGGACTGCCCGCCCACCAGCGTTACTGGCTGGTGGGAATGAAACAAGCCCACCAGCGTTACTGGCTGGTGGGAATGAAACACCCAAGTTTTTTTTTTCTTGAACCAAGACTTGCACTTGTACACTCATTACTAATTAATCGTTGGAGATACTCTGTACATATTTGTAAATACTTAAATGGGCATTTCTCTAATAACAGGGTCAGTTTCACTGAAAAAGTGTGTCAATGATATTTTTGCTTGTTTGATGTAATTGGGTGCATTAGATTAAATATAAAATTAAGACAAATACAATTCATAATGGGTTCCACTCAAAATCATAGCTTTGCGACCTTTAGAAAACAGTGTATATCATTGGAAAATTAAAGCAGGGGACTGTGCTCGAAATTTGATGACAAAAGTTTTTATTCTTTTACACTAATACACTTCACTATAACTATCAGAAAGTATGGCATTTACATAGAATCATG